ATGGAACAGAATTAAGAGTCTAAAACCGTTAGGTTTATGTCACTTGATTTTTGACAAAGATCTAAAGGCTATTCAGTAGAGAAAGGAAAGTTTTCAACAAATGCTCTTGGGATAATTGTTTATCTGACACAAAAAAACAGACCTTTGCCTTGCACAAAAAATGAACTCAAACTGGATCACAGACTTAAAATGTAAGAGCTAGAACTTTAAAATTTCTCGAAGAAAATTTAGGAGAAATTCTTTTTGATTTTGAGTTAAAAGATTTTTTAGATATAAAAACCAAGGTATAATCTGTTTAAGAAAATGATAATGGACTTTATCAAAATCAAAAACTTTTCTGCCTCAAAAATTACAATTAAGAAAATGAAAAGCAACAGTTTGGGAGGAAATATTTGCAAACTACATCTTTGGTAAAGGAACTGTATACAGAATATGTAAACTCGACAGCTCAGCAATATGAAAACAACTCCATTTGAAAGTGGACAAAAGATTACACATTTTATCAAAGAAGATATAAATAATGGCTAATAAGCACATGAAAAGATATTCAATATCATTGGTTGTTAGGGAAATGCAGTGACAACAGTACATCCTCATTATTGGTGAGGCTGCAGAGAAACTGGACCCTCGGACGTTGATGGCAACGTAAAATGATATAATTGCCCTGGATAAGTCTGACAGTTTCTTAAAAAGTTAAACGGATTTCTTAATGAAAATGTGTCCGCACAAAGACGTGTTGTGAATGTTCATAGCAGCGTTTTTCAGGGTATCTTTAAGCTAGAGGGCACGAATGCCAATCAACTGGTGAGCGGATAAAGTGATATGCACACGGTGGAACACGTCAGCAACAGGAACAAACTACTCATACGCGCTCAGTGAAATGAGGAGATGCAGGACTGCACGGCGTATGATGCCAAGTACCTGAAATGCCCAGAAAGGTTAATTTAGGGAGAGAAAGTGGATCGGTGGTTTTCCAAGGCTGGAGGTGGGAGCAGAGATTAGGTGCAAATGGGCAGCAAGGGACTTGGGCTGGTGGAACCGTTCTCGTGGAAGAAACACGATGCTCGAAATTTACTGAAAATCATTGCATTGTATACTAGTGGTTTCCCGAGGCTGGAGGTGGGAGCAGAGATTAGGTGCAAATGCGCAGCAAATGGACTTGGGCTGGTGGAACCGTTCTCGTGGAAGAACCACAACGCTCGAAATTTACTGAAAATCATTGCATTGTATACTTAACAATGCATGAGCTTTGAGTCTTGTGAAATTTATTGCTCAATAAAGCTGTTTTTAAAACGGGTCAGCTGGTGGGAAAGGCGAGGGGCATGTTAGAGGCACCTAAGGCGTCCGTCCCATCCGCCTGCGCCTACGAGGTAGGGTGCCAGCTTTCCTCATTGGTGGACTTAGGTTCCTACAGAGATACAGCCTTCCGGAGCCGCGCGCGAGAACGGATAAGTGGCATTTTTTAAACGTTGGCCTCTAGGACGAGGGAGGTCCTCCGAGGTGTCGGTGCCGTAGGCTAGAGGAAGCAGGCGGACCGCAGAGTCGCCGTGTATCCCGTCC